ATAATAAAATCGGTAAAAGAGTAATTTGTGCAGATACATTTACGGATAAATACATCCATCATCTGTTCAATCTCCATCTTCAACCAAGCCTGACATCTGTGAATTCTCCCAAACGAAATGAGAGAGAGAAAGTTGCTGGATTTATTTTTATTTTGCCATTTGCAATACGTAAAATGCATTTGCCATATACGGAACACACACTCACACAAAACACACACATTACCTTACAATATTGCATTTGTCCAGATGTCATACAACTTTGGCTTCAACTTCAACTTCATCGTCGTCATCGTCATCATGATTTCCATGGGCATTTTCCTCGTCACCGTCGAATGGCCAGCAAATGTTGAAACTGTTTGCTGTTGGCATTTGCCATTTGGCCATCTTGTCTATGATATTTGTTTATTTGCCCAGATATGTGGGCTTATATATATATATTATGTCTCTTACCATATCTTTTGTGTGTATTTCATTTCGTTTCCTCGTTGCTGTGGCAACTTTCGCTGCGAAATTTATTAATTTATCCTGGGGGAGCAATAGTTCGGTGCGTGGATGTGTTTGTGACCCTCCAAATCCCCTGGAATCCCCCAGACGGACCTGGACCTAAACCTGAAGCTGGACAGGACCTTAGCTCCTTGTTCGGCTTCCCTTTGCAACTTGAAATGCTGTTAAGATACTTTTTTCTCTTGTTTTTGTTTTGTGTGTTCCCTGTCATCGAATCGGGGGCAGCGGCCAGGGCATTATTTAATTACAGGACTCCAGTTGTCCTGGCACAAATTTTTTTTTTTTTTTTTTTTCACTTTTCTCGCACTTTTGGGGCGGAAAAGTCGTAAAAATACACACTTGCAAGCTGCTCAAAATGGTAGTCAATGGCCTCTGGGAGCCTCAAAACAATTTTCCCCCTACAAAATAGAAAAGAAACAGCAAGTTTTTAATTATTTTAAGTCATTTTCTTGTTTATCTTCCACCAAGGAAATTCAATTAATGTCAATTTTCTTACCTTCATCTTTCTGCTTATTTCTTTTCAGGTGAGTTTGCTGTTCATATTTTTTTCTCCATTTTCTGTTGGAGTTTTGAGTGTCTCCCTCTCAGTAATTTCCATTAAGTAAGTACATTTAGGAAATTTTAAACATATACTTAATACATCTACTTAATTATTTAATTAAATTAATTTTAATTAAACTAATTCTTTTTTTTTTTAACTTGAAGTTTTCTTGACTTGACAAGACTGAACTTGTTTTGTGTTAGATAAGTGTATATGTATATAAAGTGTATATAATTTTATGTATTTACCTCGTAAATATATTAAATAATTTTATAATAGTATCAACCTAAGCTTAGTTATAGATTATAAATAAGTTAAAAAAAAGAGAATTTCCCTGAATATACATGATTGTATCTTGTTTGTACATGTGTCCATGTTGCACACATCATTTTGGATGACAACTGCAGTCGGATTTTTGGATTTATCCAAAGAGATTTTCCCCCAAGATATATATACCTATATATCTCCTCCATTGTGCTGCTCTCCAAACATTTCTCGTTTCGCTTCTCCGATTTGACAGTTTGTTTACAATTTTGTTTCTTGAGCAGAAGCTAAAGGAGATGGAAATGGAGATGGAGGGCTGGTCCCACTGCGTCTGGCAGCTCCATGCGGGCTTTTCCCGCCCCGCCTCCCACGTGGGTGGGTGGCTCTTGTGTCATCGGCGGAGAACTGCCCAATTATGTCGGTGGAAAAGCCACTCAAGTGCAGATGTGAACTTTGCCCAGGCAATGAGAGTGAGGAGATTTGATTTAAAGTCATTAAAATCTTATTCTGGTTATTAAGGCAAAGGCAAAAGGCATAATTTAACAAGCTTGTTGTTTAATCAGCCGGAAAATTCATTTTCGATTCAAGAAAGGAAAAACGAGGGGGGCTATTTAAGGAAAAATCATTGCTAAATAAAAGGAAATTAAGCTGGAAAATCAAAAAGCTGATTCAAGATACGTTTTCTTAATTATGATTAATTATAAAATTTATTTATTTTACAAAATTTTTAAATAAATTATTTAAATTAAAGTCAAAACACCAAAATATTTAAAAGTCAAATTCTCAAGTAAGCTTCTTCCAATGACATTCCACACTATGCTCTATTCATGTTTCTTTGGAATCTTAAAATTTCAAAACCACAGCCACAGACTATCATCCATTGCAGGGGGTGGGTGAGGGAGGTTGTGTTTGGGAATTATTTCCATCCAAATTGTGACCGTTTCAGGGCCATTAAAATTTCTTTGTGGGGACGGCAGCTAAAAACAAACCACTGTGCCAGCTCCTCCACTGGTGGCATCGCGAATTGTTCTTCTTCTCAGTGGCATCGTCGTTGTCGTCGTCGTTGTTGTTTTTAATAATTAATCATTTGGCCTTAAAAACCAAAAACGCGCAGGCAGTGGCAGCCCAGAAATATGCACATTATGTGGCCAGAAGAGAGTCCAAAGAATGGAGTTTTGCTGGAGAATTCTGAGGGGGGAAAAATGGGATAAACAACACTGAGTGGAAATCCTATGGATTTTATTAATATTTTTATTAATTATTTATTTATATTTTTTGTTAAGCTTTATTTTAAATCACAGAGGGAAAATCCTATGGATTTTATAAGCTTTAAAATATTATAAATATTTTTATTAATTATTTTTTTTATTATTTTTTTTTCTTTTAACAAAACTCTGGTGTAAAAAAACTTAAAAACTTCAAGCTATCAGCATATTTTAAATTTTTTAGCAGTGAAAGAGTCATTTCCGACCCTATAAATCATATATATTATTGATCAGCATCAACAGCCGAATCGTTTTAGCCATGTTGAAAGAAAAAAAAAAGTTTTAGAAATTTTTTCAAAATTTTATAAGGGTTACATCGTTAAAATTATCAAAATTTGTGAAAAAATGAAATTGTAAAAACCCTAAAATATAGTATGCAGTTTAGTTAACATTAAAAAAAACTAAGACAAAACCGCTTTCCGAATTGAATTTAATGCAATTTTGGCCAAGTTATAGATTTTTCAAATTTTAATTTGACTTTTTTGACTTATAATATATTTAAGCTTTAATTGTTCCAACAATTTTCATATAAAATTATGGATAAATATCTAAATTTTAATGTTAGGTTTCTTTCTTGTTTAAAATTTGTTGTTTATGAATTGTAACCTTTTTTTTTTGACCGTGTAGAACAATCCGAATGCGGAACAGAAACCGATATAAATTGCATTATGGCCAAATTAATTGTTTTTACCGGCCGCAGGGGTGGTGGTCGCATTAATGGCCAACCCTCCTCTCTCTACCCACTGCCAAATCGAACCCCTCCTTTTCAGAGCGAAGGCCCAAGGACATTAATAAGGCCCAAAGGATGTGGTGACATTAATTGCGCGACGAAGGCCAAGCCATTGGCTGGCAAAGTAAGGTCAGGGGGTGGTCAAAGGGGGGAGTTGGACAGTCATTACATTTCCATATAAATATTTATCGCATGTGATAATGCCCAACGGGGGGGTCGTCGGGGTTGTCAATAGTTTTTCAATTTATGTTGTAAATGCTCCGAGCCGCCTGGGTTTTGGGGGTTATTCCTCCACAGGGAACGCTCTCAAATGGAAACTCACAACAGTAATTACGCTTTTCCAGTAATTAATAAACACCGATTTCCGAAATGTTGAAATAATTGTTGGTAAATTCGTACAGTGTTTTATACCGGAGAGTGAGCGTTTTTTCGGCACTTGGTAGTTCTCTTTTTCGAGTGAGCACTGTACTGGAGTGAGGGCACATAACGGTAACTGCAGTTACAGCCATATGCTGTCCCGCTCACGCCATTACAGCATCTCGCCATCTCTGTCGCTCGGCTGGCAGCTTTGCATGCGTAATTAAGGCGAAATGGTCAAGAAATTATGATTTAAGCAATTGTGCAAGTCTCTCTCACTCTTTCTCTCTCTCTTGCTATTCTCCTTTTGGCATTTGCCAACATCTGTCTAAGCAAAAAGCTGGCCAAAAGCACATTCATTACATTAATTAATAATTGTATGGCATTAATTTTGATTTATGCATTTGTCGCTGGGCTCTCCTTCCCCCCTCTCCCTGTCTCTTTTGTTGTTGGAATGCCACAGCCAATTTGTCAACTTGGTCAAATAGTACAACAACAAATGGATGATGGAAAAGTAAATGTTCAAGAAGATGAGGAAGAAGCATGAAGCAACATTCCTTCTGTAACCCACCTCTTTTCTCACTCTTTTTCTTTTCTCTAGCGGGACTGAGAGTGTGAGCCGGTTTTCAGGGGGGGGTGGTGAAAGAAGAAGAATGAAAACAAAAACAAAGACAACAGCTGGTCGATCTCTGACTCTCCCCCCACAGATGGTTTCCCCCACTATTCTCCATCATATCCTCCACCTCCGCCGCCCGCTCTTTTTTCTTCCCCCACTTTTCTTCTTCTTTTCTTGTTCCTCACTTGCTCGATCGGTCGAGGCCATTCAAAATGTAAAAGAACACCGCAACAAAAAGCATTGAGAACAATAAGAAACAAGGAAAAAAGCACATAACAAAGGCAACAACAATGCCGAATAAAGGCGGCAACAATAAAAACAAAATAAAAACAGCGAATAATACAACCGAAAAGGAAAAGGCAACAAAAGCAACTTTGGCGAAGGGCTCTCCCACGTTCAAGTAGTTGTGTGTGTGTGGGGGGGGGGATCGAGCATTTGCTCGAATTTACATACATACTTACGTCCCTCTCCCACCTTACTCTCTCGTTCTCCTCCTTCTTCCCTTTGCACTCTTTCGCTTACGCTTCGCTGCGCTTTTTGGCCAACGGCAGCGGTGCATTCTGCACACTGTAAAAAACAATTTACAGTTAGGCTAAAATAAATTTATTTTTATTTAGAAAAAAATATTTTAGATAAATAAGAAATAGTTGAATTCATTTAATATTTTATTAATCATTAATTCCATTTTCAATTTACAACAATAACTCTAAAAATATACAAAATAAATAAACAAAATAAATATGCTAATGAGATCCTTGCATTGGGCTATGTTCACGCGACTCCTTTAGCATCTCCGCCCTCTGCTTGAGCTTGATGAAGCGCGGTGAAAATTCTGTAGGTTGATACTTCTCCATGGCTTCATCCAGGGTCTTCTTGCGAATTTTCTTCTCCTCCTCCGCTGTCACTAAAATTTGATCGTAGAACTCTTGAAGATCCGGGGGCAACGGGATACAGGTTTGGCCGTGCTGATAGTTTTTAGTGCTATCATTCCAAATCGGGTAGTTCGTGGACGAGGAGGGCTGCTTTTGGGAATCGTTGTTATTTCGCTTTATAAAAGGCACTAGTGTAGACAGATCTGGATCCTTGCTAATAAATTTTAAGACGACTTCCGAAATGTCCTCAAACAGTTGCCCCGATATCAGCTCGGCGTACTTATCCGATCCAGTTCTTGCTGGGTTCCTGGTTGTAAAAATGTATAATCTACTAATATATATTAACAAATATAAATTTAGACTTACCTTGCAATTTTTGGGCTTAATTTAGGTGCCACATTACGGGAAGTAGCATGTTTGGCGTTGTCCTGCATCCTTTCTATGGATTTCACTCTTGGTCCTTGCTCCTCCTCGGTCTTGTGCTTTAACTCAATGGTTGCCCTTTCCTTGGAATTATTGGTTACCTTTTCGACAACTTCCTCCTCATCCAGACCGCCTTTACTCGAATGAAGCGGAACATCCTCGTTTTGGATGGCTTCATTATATGGTGGTGGCTGGAGACTGATGGAGCCATTGCTGTGGAATTGTTTGGTCTTTGGATCACCACACACATCGGCTTTAATGGAAACATTCATCTTCATGGAATCGGGGCTGTCGCAAACATTATCCATCGTTATAGTGGTGGAGCTTGGTGGACTTGTACTTGGACTTGGACTTGGATCTGGGGCTGGGGCTGGAGTTGCAGTCGTTGAATTATCAGATGATGTAATGGCCACGCATTCTGGATTCATAGTGGTGGTCGTGGTCTGCTTCTTGAAGAAGGGTCCAAAAAACCGGCGGATTCCGAAGGCCTTTACCGGCGGCAATGTCGTTATGATGGGCTTTGGTGTCACCGCTTGTTGTACGGTTACCTGAAATGGTTCCTGAACAGGTTCCTGTTGCTTTACAGGTTGAGGCTTCCGAGCGTTTTGGAGTTTATTTATATCATCAATGAAGCTGCTAAGATTAAAGCTGGCCTTGAAATTTGCTGGCTTTTTGTCAACTTTTGCCTGGAACTGCTGTTGGGGTGGCAGCACTTGCTTTTGTAGAATCGGAGGTACACCCTTAGGTCGCTTATTTATCAGCGGCACCTCATTCTTTGTGGGATCGTAGACATGTGCCAAAGTAGCATTATCGTAATTATATAATTCTTCATAGCCATTATAGTCGACATTTTCTGCCAGAGATCTCTTAGTTCTTCTACTGCGCCGTTCAGATGCGTCGTGGCGCTTATTGCGATTCCTGTAATGTATATCATCGGCCATTAGCTTGGCCACCGCATAGGGATAAGATTTTAAATAAGAAGTTGGATCTTCTGCCACCTTTTTAGCCGGGTTAGTGCCATGATTGGCTGGCCCCGCCAATAGCATTGTGTCAGTCTGGTAACCACCGTCTACGGCCGACTTCAGTCGCGATGATCGCCCACTATAAAGTCCAAAATCGGTCTCTGGAACCTTCAGTGCCCGCTTACCAAATTCCATATTTGACTTATATTGAGCATTGTTGGAGGATGCTTTAGGGCCTAGCTGCGTCCTGGACCCATCCAAATAGTTTGTTTTATGTTTGGTCCTCTCGTTGCCCAGCAAATCGGCCTTATTTGCCTGGTAAAAGGAATATATTGGATCGTAGTCGGAAAATTCTTTGTCATAACTATTAGTTAGCTCCGCTATTTCGCCCGCATTCAATTTCTTGTGTTTTGAATCCTGACTGAAATCAGAATTTGTAGACTCCAAACGCTCCATCTCCTTGATCTTTTTCCGAGTGGCCGCGAGAGTGCTGCTGGGTAGGACCGGACCATAGCCTTTGTCCAGCATTCGCATTATTGTCATAAGCTTTACTTCTTCCTCGGGATTCATGCAACGCCTTCTCAGCCTGAGCCCGTTCTTGGACCTCGAGAGCTCCTTCTGCTGTGGAATTTGGGTGTGCTGGTAGACATTGTAGGCCAGGCTGTTAAGGGTGCGATCATAGTTGCCATTTGGCATTGAGGCATCGTTAAAGTCGTCAACCTGTCCCGTGTTCTTGTTGGGAATATTCTTGGTCATTTCTGCGCGATTCTTGTCCTCGACATCATCCTTTTCCTTGAGAATTTCTTGTAAATGCTTCAGCTTCATATCCACATCCTGGATTTCCTCGTACTTTGGCTGCCAGAGTTTATCAAAGTACTCGGGCTTCTGGCTAGCGGCTTCGTAACTCCTTCCCATAATCTTCGGCTTCGTTCCACTGCGATCCATACCCTTGTTAGCAACCGAACGCTTCCGGTTGGCACGGTTCTTGACAAAATTGCGGTACCAGGCATCTGCCGCCTTCTGCATTTCCAAATCCGCCTTGTTATCCTTTGACACCTTTGATATCGGCTGGCAAATTTTGGGTGGTACGTTGTTGCGAGGTCCACGGGCTTCTGGCTTCTGTTTGTTGTCCAAGTCTTCGAAGAATGGCCACTCCTCCTCCACCTTGGGATGGGGCTTTGCCACCGCCTTGCTATTGCTCATCAGTTGATCGTAGCTGTCCTCCGCTGACTTTTGCTGATTCCTGCCCTTTTCGGCAAATCCAGAACTACTGAATATCAGCAGAATCCACCAGAGTTGAAGAAAATTCATCTTGATTGAAGGTTTCCTATATAAAAAGAGATTGAAAAAGGGTTAGTAAAAAGTACCAATATAAAAATTAAAAAATATTTATTGATTTAAATATTCCACTTATTTTTCGCAGTGTACCCTGAAGTTACGCATACAAAACGCATTCGTGTGCATTTGATGCCAGCGACGAAGAAACACGGAGGGGTGGGGGGGAGGCATTAAAAGTTCCAACGATCGCGACCTCGCCTCGTTTGCCACGCCCCCGCATGCAAGCGCCTTCCCATTTTTACATGTTGTATTTATTTTGCTTTTGAGGCCTCGCCTTCTCTCCGCTCGTGCGTTTTATGTGTCTTTTAATAGTTGCCAATGCGTTGATTTCAGTATTTCTAGTTGTTGCGGCATGTTGCAGTTGTTGTTTTTTCCTGTTGGCTGCAATGCAGTTGACCAAAAACAATGCAAACGCTTTTATGGTGGTTTTTTTCGTGATTTCGATCGCAGCGGCGGCCACAACAAAACAAACACACAAAAACGCATACGATTTGCGCAATTTACTAGAGCCAACAACAACAAAAGCGGCTTTTGAGCGCCGGTGTCGCTGTGTGGGCAGCATCCTCATGTTTTGGTAGGGAGAGAGAGAGAGAGAGAGCGTCTGCGGAGCTTCTCTCTTGGCCAGTATTGCCAGTTTACCATATTTCACGCTAGATCTAGCTTGAAAATGGTGCATGTTGCAAATAGCTTTACTTTGTTTTTGGCATTTCCTTTTATATTTAGCTTTTTTTGCTCAGCAGCGGCAACACTGCTCGCCACACGAACGAGCTTCGGCTTATCGCGAGAGCCAAGTTGCACGAAAGACCGGCAAAAGAGAGAGCGAAGCCCGCTCGGCAGCGCTCGGCTTTTGGAGAAACCTATAAATACCAGTGCCGCACGCCATTCGAAAAAAAAATTTTTTTAACTAAAATTTGCGGCACGCTGCGTTGCCGCGGAAAACGGAACGGATAACTCGTGTTGGTTGATAGGAAAACTCGACGAAATGTTCGTTTCCCATTTTACACGCGAATAGTTGCGAATTTTGTTTTTGTAAGTGCGCGGCTATTTGTTTTATAGTTTTCTGTGTGTGTGCGTAGTTAACAAACATTCAAGTGCTACAAAGAAACAAGAAAAAACAAAAGATAAACAAGAACTGGAATATGAAAATAGATCGGAAAACAAGACACATTTTTCAATTACTTTATGCTTTGAACTATATTTTTTTCGTGTGCGTGCGTGCATGTGTATGTGTGTTTGCGTCTCATTTATTTATTTTAATTCTTTGCAATGCAAACACAAATAATCAAAGAATAACAAAAAGACGAGAAAAACAACAACGAAAAACAATTGGTGCTGTTGCTTCTCTCTCAACTTTGACTGTTGCCGCTGTTTTGTTTGTGTTTTTCGCGTTGCTCCTTCTGTCTCTTCTTCTTTGTCGGCTATTCTGTTTTTGTTTCTGTTTTGCGGCATTTTGCGTACATGTGTGTGTGTGCTTTTTTGTTTTTGGCTTGTTTGCACATGAGTTTTTTGCAATAAATGCAAATGTAGCTGAAAATTTCAAGTGTCTTGAAAATGTTTTCATCGAGTTTTTTGCACATTGATTTTTGGCGGGGAAAAACGGGGCATAGTAAAGGAGGCAGAGAGAGAGGTGGAGCCGGAGAGTGGGATTAGGTGATTCACCCACACACACATAATTTGTATCTCCTTCTCTCTCTCTCTGCTCTGCCTACTCCTCTGTCTTTTCTGACTCAGTCAGAGATTCTTCAGAATTATCGCAATTATCAGTAGCAACAAAAAAAAAAAAAAAAAAACTACCAAAAGTTGAGTGGCCAAATAAGGAGATTTCTGTGTAATTTATGTCATGTTAGCTTTGCTTTTTATTTTTTTAAGGGGATTGTCTTTTTGGAATTGCAGAGTATGCGGAGTTTTATGTTTATGGTTTTTAGAATTGCAAAATTTGAAGTGGGTTTTCATTCAGCTGCAAAGCATAATTTTGTCTATTTAAGTAAAACTTGTATAAAAGATTAAGAGTTGACTTTAAAATATTATAATTATTTATTTTAAGAACCTTCAAGCTAAGCATTTTCTAAAATTCCTTTTAAACTTCCTTCTTTTTGTTTATTTTAAAATATTTCTGGAAAATTTGTTCGATTTTCCCCATTACCGGGAATAGTGTTTTCTCTGGGTTTTTCTTTGTTCTTTGCCCTAAAAATATCAAGACCAACTCTTTATATTTCATATTCTCGGAGTGCAGTTCAGAAATAGACCCCAAAAGAATTCATAATTTCCCTTGGGCTGCACTTTAGTGTTCCCATAGGCTTTTCCCCGCTTTTCCGACGCACTTCTTTCTCAGTTTCGACAACATTAATGTCATTGGAGATCGTTAGCAAATCAATTTAGCTACAAATGCGACAACACTTGGGGTTTTCATTAGGAAAAAGCTGCCACATTTTGATGGAGCAAAAATTTTGTTAAATTTTTCTGATATATTTTGTATATTTAAAGTTTAGTTTACCTTATTGTAATAATTTTAATCGTTTAATTCAAGTTTTTAGACCTTATTAATGCCAAGATAATGTCAATAACGGGCAAGGTCCTCTTAAAATATGCTCATAAGTAAAAAAATACTGTTTATTTTACCATGACAATAGAAACATTAAAAGTTTGCATTAAGTGGTAGTAGTTTTTCTGCTTTTAAGTCATTTATTTTTTGCTGGCCAAGTCAAGATCAGTTAGTGCAAAAATCGGCACGATATCTCGCCATTTATGTTGGGGTTTTTAATTATTTTTGTGTTTTGTTTTTGCTGTTTGTCTTTAATGTTTTACCATTTGTGTTCGTTGTGGATTGTCGAGTCTCATTTACGTGCATTGAACGCCCGAGTGAGTTTTCCACTTTATTTGCATATTACCAACGATGGATACACGATGGTCAGCAAGGGGACGGTCTTGTTTCATTTTATTTTTATTTTTTTTGTCATGGCAACCGCACTTGCAATGAATATGTTTAAAATTGAGAGAATAGCAGCAGCAACCGCAGTAATTAAATATTAAATATATAATCAATTTAATCTGTTTCAATTAAATATATTTGTAAAAATTCAATGGCATAGTGCAAAACCGTGAAAATGCCATCCAAGTACCGCAAAATAATGCCAAGAGCTGCATTTTAAACAATTTTTTTACGAAATATTTTCCACAGTCAACGAACTGAGAAAAAGAGACAGAGTAGTGAGAGAACGAGAAAGAGAGAGATTGGAGCGAGTCTCTTCTCAGTCTCTGAAAAATTTGCATAGAGAAACACGACACTGAAAGCAGCAGCCACTTTTTTCCACTGCCCCATGTAAGTAAATGCAAAAAAATTAATAATAAAAAAAATGAATGAAAAATTGTTTAGCTACCAACACTATAAAGAAAATAACGGGGTTCTTTATGCTTTTTTATGGGGAGAATTCTTATGTGGAATTATAGAATTAAAGGGAATTATTGAGGTGAATTTAGGAATTTAGAAGAATTTTTAGAATTTATGTTGGTAATTTAGTAACCAAAATTGATGCTTTTAAATATTATATACCAAAGTTAATAATTGGTATCAAAATTACATATCTTTGCGGCTATCAATATCTAATAACCTGAGAAAAAAACGAGGCAGCTTGAATTGCTAAAGCAATTTGAGGTAATGATTCCCCTTGTCCGATGTCTGGACATGCCTTCCCCTCTTCCCTGTGGCTTTTTCCCGCCCCCCACATGCAACAAATATGCCGGCTTTTCCTTATCAGCTGCTGTGCACGGGGCAAAGCACAAACAAAGTGGGGTTTGGGAAAGATATAGATGGACACTTAAGTCACTTAACCGACAACTGACAATTGACTTGACCCCCCCCCCCTAGGAAATCTCAACCCTCCGAGAAGTCGCCACCTGAAAGCGATAAGAGGAAAATGTTTTCGTTATTTGGTGGCACAAAGGAGAGGGGGGAGGTATGGCGGCGGCGGCGCCTCCGATATCGATGGGCAATCGATGATGTCCCCAACAATAACAACAGCAAACGACGACGATGACAATTTGTTTGTAATTTGTTTGTCTATTTCCCGCAGTCATCTAACCCTCCCCCCTTTTTTCCTTATACACGTGGGGAAAATAGTAGAAAATAATAATACTAGTTGAGCATTAAATTGTTTTAATATTATTTAAACTTAAAATGAATTTCTTAAAATTTAAAAAATTTTTTTTTATTTTTGAAATAAATTAAAATAATATAAAATCAATAATAAAAATACAAAATTTTATACAAAAATAAGCTTAAAATGTTTCTGCAATATATGCTTAAAATTCCCAAGTACGAATTCAGGGGCATTTTATGCCATAATATTGACCATATTGATAAGGCTTTTATAATAATATTTTCCGAAGGTTTTTAACCCCATTTTCGTCCTGTGTATGCGCTGGGCAAACATTCAAATAGATTTTGAAAAGCAAACTGAAGTCGAATCATCAATTCGACCGCAGGGCAAACTCAAAAGTCAACAACAACAACAACAAATTGCAGTCTCCCTAGAAGACTCAATGGAACAGTCCACACCCTCCTTATCAGGGGTCCCTGAACAAAATTTGAACTTTCGTTTTCTTTCCTTTTATTTGGTTTTCCCAACTTTAGGCTGGGGCACCTGCCTTATCATTCCCTGATTTTCTTCCCTTTACCCCCTTCCCTTGCATCCGATTACGCTTACGCTTACGAAACACTGGGAATCGCTGGTATCTCAATAAAGTGTCCATTGCGTCATTTTCCCAGAGAAAGAGAGATAGAGAGAGACAGAAAGCCAAAGAATCGTTGTAATTGTTACAGTTGCCGGCGGTCATTTAATTGTTCAAGCTATCGAAGGGCAAAAAGGGAGTGAAAAAATACAATATTTCGAAAGGGGATTTGTCAAGCTTAAATTGGTTTACAATTTTTTTTTGATTGCACAATTTACAAGGGAATAAAGTTGAAGACTTTGAATGGTTCTTTAAATTGAATAGGTTTTTAAAGAGTTTATAGCAATTTATAGAAAGGGTTTTAGTAAGTCATATTATAAATTATTTTTAAGAGAATAAAATATATAACAACATTTTCCCCCATGAAATTAACAAGACTTGAAACCATCTCTTGACTTGCGAAAGCTAAAAGAAACCTCCAAAAAGCCTTAAGATTAATATATATTTCATTACATTTAATTTCAATTTTCAAATTGAAATTGAAATTAAAATTCTTGGCTCTTTTAAGAGCTGGAGGAGCTGCGTCAAAAGCTCAGTACTTCAGGGTCCCTGTACAAATAATTGCGATCTTTAGCAACCAAAAACTCAACTCTCAATTGAAATGGCAGCGCGAGATGTATTGAGGGGCGGAGTCTCAATTCATTTTTTAGTTTTTTCTTCTTTTTATTATATTTTGTTTTTGGTCTTTTTCTGGTTTTCGACTCACTTCCGCTGGTTTTTCGTGCGCGTCTTCTTTTTTTTTTTTTTTTTGTTTAAGACACTTCAGTTCAGACGTTGACGACGCACTGCAAATTGTGGGTTGTCAGGGGTTAAAAGGGGGCCCCAAGAGGGGGTTAAAAAGAATGGTGAAAAGGGGGGAGCAAGCGGGCGATCCGGATTCCAGAGATTGAAGAAGAGATTGGAGCTGAAAGGCGGCACCAGACGATGACGACGACGACGATGACTACGACGGAGTTCGCTCGCTCCCATCTTAAGTTGTCGTTGTCGTTGGCAACATTTAATCAAGCCAAGAAGCCAACTGGAAGCAGCCGCCTACAGCGAAATCAGCGAAAGACAAAGCCAACTTCTTGTTTGTTGCCGCTAATGATAGTTTGTCGGGGTCTCTGGGGGTCTCTCTCTCTCTCTATCTGAAAGATACGGCGATACGCAGATGCGCAGATACGTAGATAAGCAGATACGCAGATTCTTGCCAGCTGTGCGTGGGTGCTAAAACCGAAACCCTGATTACTGACAGACTCAATTCTGTGTTGCATTGAAACCCACGACCCAAAACAGGTGACCATATATAGTCAGCATTATAGAAATATCATTAAATTGACACCGACCCTGCGATTATGCTCTTTTAAAGCCACTTTATGTACTTTACACTCGTAAAAATATTTTTATATATTTACTTTACAATTAAAGCTATTTTTATTTTTCATTCAAAGTCGAATTCTACTTGTTTTAATGGTAAATTTTTCATTAAAACCATGGCAAATTCACCCTAAAAATATTACGTCAAATTCACTTATAATTTTCTAATATTCCCAGAATAAAGTAACGGTTGCAGGACAGTAACTATTTCTTAATTCAAGAAAAAGAAATGTAATTTAAAAACTTAATTTTAGAAAAATTTACTACTTCTTATGAGTGTAGTAGATTGTTTTTATTTATTATTTACTATTGTTTTTCTCGATTTTGGCTGACTCTGCTTGCCGCTTTTCCACTTGGCCAAGCACTTTTCGATCAGACAACATCATGGCAGATTAAAAGCTTCCGTTTCAAGTTGAAGCTGTTGAGGATGTGGCCCACAGCTAAAACCCACAACAAAAACCACCAAATAAGGTGTGGGTGGGTCGAAAGATATATGAAAAAAGTTTGTATTGATGTTGTGGCCAAAAAGACACTGCTATAAAACTATAAAGGCCTCTTGTTTGTTTAGAAAATCAAGTTTAGATATTGGAAAATATAAAAAAGAACACAAACATAATCTCCTATAAATATTCGTATAGTTTTATTAACTACATGATATAACTTACCACTTTTAGACTTCTTCTTACAGTGCACTTTTTAGGTGAACACTAGAGATCCACTGATCTGCTACCGACACTGGTGTTTTATTATTTTTGAATATTTTTTTAAGACAATATAAAAGTTAGATGTTGTTCGCTTGTAATAATATAAGTTTTTGACTGATTCTAGGCTTTGTTTAATGGAAAGTTAAATCTGAGAAAACTAGATGAGATACAAAAGTTCAGAAGATTTGACAGCTGAGAAAAGGATTGCTTTTTGTAGCCATGAAAACGGCATTAAATTGGGCTTAAATCGCCACCAAGAGTGTATTTACCTGGAAATTAATCGCCAAAAATACTTGTGTATATATATATCTCTTTATCTCAATTGAGATTTAAGATAATTTGGCCAAGACAGATGTGCCAAGGCTCGCACAAACACACAAACGAGGCTGCGGCAACTTTCTTTGCCGCGGCGGTAAATTGTAGTTAATGATCCTTTTGTGGATTTCCCTCAGGTAATAGGATAATGGCCTCTCCGCTGGATAGAGGCAAATGTTAATTTCTTTATGATATTTGGCGCTTGGACTAAATGAAGCATTTAATATCCGTTCGCCCGCCCCTGGGCACATAAAAATGCTAAATAAAAAATATAAAAATTGATTATCTCTTGCCGCCCGCCGCCCGACGAAAATTGAAAGTTAAGCTGTGTGTGAGCGGTGGGAAAATCTCTGTCGAGGAAATGTCAACGGGCGTGAAAGTGACAGGGCGGTATATGGGGGGGATCGAGGGAAGTCGAGGGTGTGGCCAAAGCAATCAAAGTTGAAAATTAGGCAATAAAATTAAACGAACGGCAACGGGACGCAGTTCAGGACCGACCGAGCGTAGGGTTTAACCTTTTGCCGCGCCACAAACACAATGAGTCCCTTTCCCCTTGAAAAGAAAAGCAACCAAAAACCGAAAAGAAATTGCCGCAAATGGTGGAAAAATTGACATGCCACATGGCGGTGGTGGCAGCAACGTTGCCGCATTTCTTACTTCTGGGACACCCACCCCCAACTATACTTTTTTTTTTCTATATTATGCTTTGCTGCCCCATGAATTATGCCACAAACTGGCACCGCATAAGCACACACTAGGCCAGGTTAATGATTGATTTACCTGCAAGTTACCTGGCAACAGTTGGTTTTGGCCAAGTTTTTGTGCTTTGTTTTGTTTTGGTTTCGTTTTGTTGTTGTTGTATGTGAAAGTGGCCAATAAACAAGGCAATTTGGAGCTGTCCCACTTAAGGATTAACGGATGGGGGAGAACATTAAGGATTAGCAGGTCCTTTTAAGGTTTTATTTTGAAAGCTTCTAGCTTGATTATGTCACATTATGTACTGGAAATGGGGTAAAGCATAGGTTTTTCTAAAGATATTACTATTGTTTAATTATATACTTCAAATAAGATTGAATTTCAGAATTTTAATAAAAAATTCTGCTGGTCTATAGCCTCAGTTTTGTATAAATATCAACTAAAGTCGAATTTTCTCTTAAATTTCATTATTTTCTACATTTTTTCTTTTCTTTCTTGAAAAAGAAATGCAGAAAATTAAACAAATCCGATTTATTTAAAAATTTCTATGGTTAGTTTCAAGTTTCAAGCTGTTTCAAGGGAATGAAAATGTCATGGTAGTGGAAGTGATGTGCTGAACTCAATTATTTTGCACTCTCCATGTCCTGACGCACGCTTCAGGGGACTAAGAACATCATACCCCACCCCAACCCGATCTTTCCCGTTGCAGATTCAAAGCTGTTTTTCGCATTTTCGCAAATGACCACAAAATATGCTGGCTGTGCTGTGCTGCTGCAGTTGTGCAATGATTCCATTCCCCGGCTGCTCCAATTTGGCCAAGAGCCGAGCTCATAATCTGCTAAACGCATCATTACAGCGACTTGGGGGAATGGGCTGTGCCCCGGGAGGAATAAAGTATCTGATGGATGCATGCAGCACTAGCAGCAGCAGCAGTAGAAACCATATAGCCATGCAGCCATGGATGCAGATGCTGCATGTGGCGGGGGCGAAGCTACTGCTCATTAAATTTCCGCTCTCTTTGCAAAATGAAGTGGCCAGCGATAGCGATTTGGTTGTGGATTCTCGGCTGCTGCCTGAGCTTGGTTATGCTCTGCAAACTCATAAAATAACTGTAATTGTCGTAGCAACCACGTTGCCGCACTTCACTCGGCCAGTGGAGCCCCGTTCTTTTTTTATGCCCCAAGTAGCGCCTCAGTTTTCGGCTTCTACTTGTTGCCCAGTCACGTTTCGTGTCCGTTTTTCCTATCGCCACAAATCTTGTTGGCCTCATGGACAAAAGAAGAGCCAGGGCAGTGGAGCTCGGGGGAGAGGTAGAGAAGGGTCCATTGAATGGGGAACAGGAGTGGTGTCCGTGTGTCCTAAGCTCAAAGCCCTGTTTTACACCAGACACGTTAAGAAATATCAATTTTATTTTTGATTTGAAAGTATGAAATTGTTGAATATTTTAATGATTTGAAAATCTGGATTTCAAATCGAATGTTTATATTTTTATATCCTTTTTAAAACCCATTTTTCTTACCTATTTAAAATCTAAAAAATCTCCATTAATGTTTTTAAGATTTTAAATTTAAAACCTAAAAAATCTCCATTTAACTATTTAAGATTTTAAAACTAAAAATCAGTAGAATGGGGTGTCTTAAAAGTTTGATTAATAAACTAATGTTTATTATTTTAAAAATCCCTTTAAATTAATAAACTAATGTTTTTTATTTTAAAAAATCCTTCAAACCTCTTCTCTTTAGCTTTTTTAAATCTAAAAAAAAAATCTTTATTAAATTATTTAAGATTAGATGATTTGAAATTAATAAAATAAAATGTTTAAAATTAGGTTTCTTAAAGGAAGTTTTAAAAACAAATACTTATGATTTTAAACATTTCTTAAAACGCCTTTTTTTCAGATATTTCAAATCTTAAAAATATTTATTAAATTATTTAAGACTGAAAAGATGTGAAATTAATAAAATAAAATGTTTAAAATTAAGCTGTGACACATAATATAGCCTTCTTAAAAATCCTCCTTAAAAACCCCGCTTTAAAAGCCTCTTTATAACCCATTTAAAATCTAGAAATAAATTTGCTTTAAATAAAATTCTCAATTTTTTCCCTTTAAGAATTACCATTAGAACTTTAACAATTTTCGCAGAGTGCAGTTAGCAGCAGCAGCAGCACCTGCACCTGCTTCTCTGTTAGATGGGGAACTCCTTCTTCTCGCCGTTTACCTTTATTTTGCGCCACCAACAACACCACCACCTGCGGCTAACGGGGAACGAACTCTCCACGAACACCAAGAGGCAAGGTATTCCATCCAGCAAGAAAGAGGGAGCTTACAAAGGCAAATTTTCTGGTTCATTGCAGCCATTCAAACTGTAATCAGATACTAGCCTGCACACAGCCCTCGTTGGGCCCTCCTCGTTCTTTATATACAGATATATATGTATGTATATATATATATATCTGTGAGTGGGCACGGGCGATCCGCATTCCGGCAGAGCAGGTTGTCCAGGTCTTCGACTGCTTTTTTCTTTTTTTTTTTACACAGTCTCGTCGCGAGTGTGGGTGAGGGATTAACTGGTGACCGAAGGAGGACAGAGCTGGAGCCATAAATAAAAAATCGAGTGTTCCAAACATACGGGAAGAATGAAAACTAATCGAAAACCATTGGCATAACGGACAGCATTTATTGGGTTTAATGTGCACACTCGATGTGCAAGTGATTGATAGAAATAAAGTTGAGTATTGAAATGTACTTTATAGGAGTCTAGAGTCAAGTCTAGAAACTATTTATTGTGAAGAACAAAACTCTCCAGTGAAAGCCAAACTTTGAACTTGCCACAAGAAGAGACACTTGGTCTGTGATCTCCTCCGCCACATGCAAACATTTATCAATTAAAACCCGGAACAGCTTTCATTATGAACTGACTGACTGGCTGGCAGCTGCAACAGAAACATCATCTGTTAACCAGGGCAGAGAAGAGCCAACTCCTCATCAGAGTTTTCCCCCAGCTGCCAGTTCCTAGATCTCCCCTTGCAATGTGGGAGCAATTGAAATTGACCCAACGACACTCATTTTTTTGCACTGCACTCTTTTTGCTGGTAAATTTTTCATAACAAATTCGCCCTAAAAATCTCACTCGTGTGCTCAATAATTCCCAACTGGTTCTAGAAACCCCGGAATAAAGTGACGGTTTGCAGGGAAATTATCAAAAAGGAAAGGTATAAACCTATCTCTCATTAATATTCTTCTAGTTTTAAACTGTTTTCTTTTAGTTTAATGAACTATGGAACTTACCACTTGTATTTTATTTGTAACTGCACTTTTTAGATAGTGAAGTTCCACGGATCTGCTACCGACAACCGCGTTTTATTATTTTTAAATATTTTTTTAAAAATATAATACAAAATTTGAATGTTGTTCGCTTGTATTATATACGTTTCTGAATGATTCTAGACTTTGTTTGATGGAAAGTTAATGCAGGGAAAACTAGATGATGACAGATTACTAGATTTTATAATGTGGTCTTCAAAAATGTATATTTAAATATTGATATAATACTTTTGAGGTCTTTGTCATTTGTTATTTTGTATTTGTGTTAAAAACTCCAACAGTTTTTCCTTCTTTTTGTTGTATCTTTGGCGTTGAAAAAGTTTGAGTTTGATAATTATTGCAACATCGCCCAGCCGTTCGCGTCGAGTGGATTGCGTTTTCTGTGTGGTGTGGAGTGTATCTGTATCTCTAAGTATGCCCCGCTCCCAGTTTTCTTTTCTTTTTTATGTGTGCATCATATTTCTTTCAAATAGCGTTTTTATGCTCGCTTGTCGAATGATTCAACAAGTCGAAGGCGTAAAAATAACAACATCTCGTAAAAACAAAATGAAAATCAACTTAATTCGATGTAAAACACTCGCCGCGTGCCAACAAAAATAAATAACAAAAAAAAAAGAAGGAAAATATTGTAATAAAAAATATTTTTATAAATGCTGTAGAGCCAAAACAAAGAGAATAGAACAAAAGTATAGTATATAAAGATAGATAGAGAGAGAAAGAGCGAAAGAGCGCAGAGAAGAATCAAGAATTAAGACTGAAGACTGGGGAATTAAGAGCTCTCTAGAGGAGATTGTAACGGTACCAGTGATTTG